AGTAAGGCCAAGAGAATCCAGCTTAAAATATGATACTATGGGAATGGAGGCTGATTGCTCACATTCTGTGGAAAAGACTTCACCTGTAGCCTTCAAGTTTTTTTGCCCACATAGCCTATGCTGTTATTATTATTTTTTGCTGAGCATCATTTAAACCTCTTGGCAGACAAGGTTCCTTGAGTGAATCTGATATATTTTATTAGACCAACCCAAATAGTTGGAGAATAGTTAATAAGCAAGCTTTCAGGTTCAAAAACCCTTCATCAGGCTAAGGAAGTTTCAGCAGTTGGTGTGTGCTCTTCCTGGTTTTAAACCTCTTTGCATTAAAAGAAAACATTAGGAAAAAATAAGTGAGCTGCCTTAAGCCTCTGTTTAGCAACACATTGCTGCCAAATTTTAAATAAGTCCATCCTTAGCAAAGCAGGGCCTTAACTTTAAGCAGGGCCATCAATTCCAGACAAACCATTAGCAAACTCAGAGAGTTATGTTAAGCACATGTTTAAGATCTTAGCTGAATAAGGATGATTATTCACATGTTTCAACCTGGGCACCTTGCTAAATCAGGGCCTGTGTAACAGAAAGTGTAGGAAACTAGAGATCACTTGTGATTTGCTTCATTAAATAATTAGATTTCTTTTAAAACACAAATGTGTATTGCCTCGTTACAAAACCAATGACTTCTTTATCATGATGTTTGAAGGATGAGGTCTGTATAAACATGAAAAAAATGTTTGACTTCATCTTCTCTTCAGTTTTAGGGCATCCCATGTTTTGTGTCAAAAGAAAAAAAAATCTTTTTACAGCCTCACAGTACCCTTATTAGGGCAAGAATTTCCCCAGACATTGAGTTGTGGAGAGGTTTCACACTTCTAGCCCCAATCAGCTCTGGGGGGAAAGAAGTTCATAACAAGGGGTAAAGTGGAGTTGAAAGTAAGGAAATTTTCAAGCTTTTTTTTTCTTTCTTTCATTCTTCCTTTTTTTTTTTTAAATAGAATGTGCTCTTCTGAGATCAAAAGGCCTCACATTGTGAGAACAAATGCTTTAGGGAGAGAAGAAACATTTCACACCAAGGGGTAAGGAACAGATGGCCCTGAAATATCTGCCAAGAAGGGCCAGAACTCTTGGCTTTCTCTCCAGGTCTGTTATCTGTGAGCAGGGATAGAAGACAGGAGTCTGCTCAGTGTCCTTTCCTAATATCTCCTCCTTTCAGAAAAGAGAAATGTCTCAAACAAAACTACTGTCATAAATAATTTACAAGCTTTTTTAAGCTGGGAATTTCCCTTTCCTTTGGGATATTAAAGGAATAAATCTCCATTAAGGCTTGGTTTTATATATGTGAATGTGCGTATATGTTTGCATGTGTGCATTAGGACTTGAGTGATTTTTGTGCTCATAAAAATGTCATACCAGAAACTCCAGAGCTAAAGAGATAGTTGCATCCACATAGATGTGTCAGTATATATAACCATAGACACCTGCAAAACTATTAATCAGTCTATCATATATATATATACACCTACATAATACAACTATGTATATATAAGCTTATATAAATACAGATCTTTTTCTCCAGATGTAGAGATATATTTGCATGGATATTGAGGTGATTAGATGAATATAAAGAAATATGCACAATTATTTACATGAGGATATGTGTATATTAATATGATATACATATAGAACTGTGGGAAATGGGATCTGGAGAGCTCATCTTATTAACCCCTGTCCCAAAACAAGATCAACTATGCCTATACATCTCCTTATATATGTCTATACACACATACACACTGATAGTAAGGTACATATCATGCCTATAAATCTCATGGAAGACAACTATATACTATTATATGTAATGTGCTCTTTTATATGTAATATATATATATAATGCTTGTGTGCTGGAGAGATGTGTCTGTCAAACATCCTAAATTACTCCCACTACCTTATTATGGTAGTGTAAGAGTGCTGGTCCAGAAACTGAGAGGGGCAAGGATTTCTTAGGGTGAGCCCTTTTACTGGATTCACTGTGTAGTGTTAGACACGCTTTCCAACATAAGACATTCTTCTTCACCTTGCATTCAAAAGCGTGTCTAACTCTATCCCAACGACCCAGTTGTTTAGTGCAAGATGTCACCCTAAGACATCCTTTCCTTCCACTACCTTGGACTGCTAAACTGGATTAAGAGGTGCCTCCTTCCCAGCCACGAGTCTGGGTCTCTTTCCTCTAAGGAAAACAAGCTGAAGTGTGAGAAAGCTGAGGGGAAAGTGTGTGCTGGTGCCCTCAGCCCGCTGGAGAAGTCAGGCAGGCGCGGGGGGAGGAAGGCTGAGGCGGTCTCCAGGGACCGGGCCACTTCTTCGGGGCTTTGCACCGGCTGCGGCGTCGGGGGCCCGGCACTACGGACTTTTCCGGCGGCTCTTTTGAGTTTCAAATGGGAGGCTCCATGGCCTTTGTTAAAGATATCCATCCTTCCACCCAGATGCCCATCCCTAGCCCCACGTCCCCTAGCATCCCTCCCCGCCCCCTCCACCTCCCTTTTTTGATCATTGCAGCCCTTCCTTCCTCCCTTGTATCCCACTGGCAGCCCCTGCTCTGATCACCGCCCCCAACGATGCGGCTCTGGATTGAGTGTGGGCGCTTCGCCCCGGGCAGGAGCTGGACCACTCCGTGATGCGCTGGACCGCCCAAGGGGCACGTATGCCCTCTTGAAGCTGGTCGGCGGTGCGACCGGGACCCAGGGGCTTTGATCGCTGGGGCAATAATCACTGGGGACTCGGGGGGCTGGCTTCGGGAGAATCATAAAGGACTTTAGCACTGCCACCTGTCTTTGCTGCCAGTCTGTCTGTCTGCCTGCCCAGGGCTCTGCCTGCCTGCCTGCCTGCCCATAGCATCCTCAGCCTCGCACCCTTCTCCCTCTCCCCGCCTTGTGGGACCAGCTGGCGCCTGGCGCTCTCTGGGGGAGCCCAAGATGCCTCTTGCCCCCTGTCCCGGTGCGGGGAGGGTCTTTTCCCAGGGGAAGGACCGGGATCTGCCTCCCCGAGGGCCGGCAGGTACCTGGCTGAGCCCCCTCCCCGTCCAGCCCCAAGCGGGGTGGGACTCGGATCCGCCTGCGGCCCGGGCAGCCCCCCCGCCCCCGCTTCCTCCTGTGGACTTGTTTAGCAACCCCAGAGGCGTTTCGAGGTAAAAAGGTCAGAGCTATACCCCGACTGCTCCCCTCCCCCGCCAAAGCACCGCGACTTTACAGCGAAGGGTCCCACCGCCGCGGACAAGCAATCTGCCCCGGGCTGGGAGGAGAGGGGGGGACCAGGATCAGGACCCCTCCCCTCCCTCCGCCCTCCACTGCTTCGGGATAAGCAGCCGGTCCTGGGATCCGAGAGGAGAAGGAAAATCCCTGGACCTGGGGTTTGGATTCTGCTCCAAGCAGCGGTGTCAGATCAGATCAGCCCCCCCAAAACCCCCCAAACCCTTTCCTCTTGCGGATGGATCTATTTCAAGGGCATTGCAAAAGTGGCTTAAAAATGCGAGTGGGGGCGGCCCTGTCCCTTTGGCAGCCGGATCCCGGCAGAGCCTTGCAGCGACTCAAAGCCGCGCGCGGACAGAGGTGGGGGATGCTCGTCCTGGGCACCGCGGGACCTGATCCTGCCTCTGGCGGAGTCAAGGGGAGACTAGAGGCAGGGAGGACATCAGGCCCATCTCTTGAAAGCCCTAACAACAATAAGAAGCCCCCTGGCTTCCCCCTGCCTCACAATGCCTGCCCCCACAACCCCAGCCCCGCGCCCTTGCTGGGGGGTGAGAGATTTCCCGTGCCACTTAAACCAATAGGACTAGAGGATGAAAAAAGTAAACTTTATTAGTCTTGAGGTAGGTTCATTTCAAAATACAGAGTAGAAAAGGGCTGGGAGAGGGAAATCCCGAAAATACTAGTTCTTTTCCCTCGCTGTCATTTTCTCCTTAAAAAAAAAAAAGAATAAATCTAAAAGAAACTCAACTCTTTTCCCCCCACGTTTTTAGATTTGTTTTATGCTAAAGCTTGTTGCAGGGGAGAAAAAAAGGTTTTTATTTTCTAGTGTTAAATAGCATTTTGATCGGCCTCGCTGAAATCTGAAAGGGGGCGGGGGAGGGATTCCTGTGCTACTTTCTTTTAAGAATTAAGGCTCTTAAAACATATAATAAATATATTTTAACCCATCAGTAGAAATGGGCAGACCGATAGCTCATAAAGGTCCACTCTGCAGCTTTTTGGGAGCTTCCACACTCCCGGACAGAACAGACTACAACGAGTACCCTGAGGTCAAACTTTTTCTTGGCTGGTGCGTGTGTGTATAACACACGGCATCTGAACAGCGTGTGAACCCTGTAAAATAGCAATAGTGCAAAAGGAGAGGGGAGGAATTGTGTGTGTTTCTGTGTTTGTTTGCAAAGGCCTCTCCATTATTAATAATATCTAGATCTCACTCCAGCATATACACAATTTAAAGGGAGAGGGGAAAAAAAAACTTTTTACAATCCTATGGGAGGAAAAACCATGAAAAAAATTACATCAAGCAACATCTTGCAGCCAAAAGTCATTGTGCACCATTTTGTTTGAATGGGAATAGCTAAATTCGCTTCCGAGTTTCTCTGGTTGAAAGTGCAGCTCCCAAGTATCTGGGGGGAAAACGTCCCTGAGACTAACGGGTCAGGCTAAGAAATGTCCGGCAAAAACACAGCCGCTCCTTTGGAGGTCCAGATGCTTGCAGGATGGTCTCATAAATTAAGAGAAGGGAAGAGAGAGGGAGGAAGGGAAAAAAAAGCTGGCAGGATGATTTGACATCACACTTAAGTGAAGCAGTTCTTGCAAAAAAGGCACCAGTCGGAGCAGTGTGCGTGTGTGTGCGTGCGTGTGTCTGTTTCCTACTTTACACAGATCTGTGAGCTCTTCTGCTTGGCATGGAGCAGCTGCCTCTGGAAGGCAGACAAAGTGGCGAGCGGGGACCGTGTCTTCCTGCTCCTCCTAGGCGTCCTTTCAGGAGGACACCGAGTTGGGAGAGGCCTCAGGTGAAGTGGAGTTGGACTGGTCCGAGGCTTCCCCCGCTTCCTTGGCAGCACTGGGGGGTGCCGCGGGGGCGAGTCCTTCCTTCTCCCTCTTCTTCTGCTTCATCCTCCTGTTCTGGAACCAGATCTTGACCTGGGTCTCGTTGAGCTCCAGGGTGGCGGCGATCTCCACCCGCCGGGCCCGCGTCAGGTACTTGTTGAAGTGGAACTCCTTCTCCAGCTCCGTCAGCTGCTTGGTGGTGAAGTTGGTTCGGATGGTGTTGGCCTGGCCGACCACCCCGTACTCGGACACTTTAGCTGTGAAGGAGCCAAGGACACACAACAAGGAAGCAGCAGCCGCGCGTAACTCACTCCTTACAGCCAAGGGGAGGAAGGGGGTGGGGGATGCTTTGCAAGGCTCTCCAGCTCCCTGCATCTATCACCCAGCCACCCTCCATCCCAAGAACCTGCCCTGCCCCAGAGCCACCCTTAGGACCCATTACTTGGTCCTTTCCAAAGAGGCCCCTTTCCAGCCGGCCCCAGGGTCCCTCCTGAGCTGGAGACTTTTCTGGGACTTTTCAAGGGGTGTGCTGGAGGAGGGAGGGCTGAGGAAACTCGCAGGGAAGGAAGCTGAACAATGAGGGCAATGAAAGAGGGGCAGGAAACCAGGATCATTTCCTACCACAGACAAAGTCTAGGCCTGCAAGGGCGATTCGCTGCTTCGGATGCATATTTCCAGCGCCGGGCTCTGCTGCTGTGCACCACCCCTTGTTACCCCAGGGTACCACTTCCCTCCCTTGGGGGAAACCCCTCCAAGCCTCTGCCCCCACCCCTTGAATGGAGAGGATGCTATAGACCCACCTGTCTTGGGGGGATTCCTCTTCACTCTCATCCAGTCGAAGGTCTGCGTGGCGCTGGTGGTGGGACACTGCTCGGATGGGCACGCGTGGTCCTTGCTTTCGTTTAGAGAAGGCGAGAGGCCGCTGTAAGCCCCCGGCAAGTAGCCTGGCTGCTCCTGCCCATACGAGTGCTGCTGGTACTGCCCGGGGGCAGCCACTGCCCCGCAGTAGCCCTCTGGCAAGGAGCTGAGGTTAGATCCGGCGTTGAGGCCATACCCCGGCGCCTGGAAGTAGGCACCATCCGCGTCCTGTTGGCCGAGGTAGAAGTGGGGATGCCCGTAGCTCGGGTTGTAGGCTTGGGGCGGGTACCCTGCGGAGGCAGCGCCCGGGAAGGGGATGGCAAGGCCAGAGGAGGGCGTGGGGTGGTAGCCAGGGCTCTGCTGGGGGAGGTGGCTAGGTGCAGCAGTGCTCCCTCCTGCTCCCAGGCGCCCATCTCCGTGGTAGCTGTCACTGGCAGGGGTACCTGAGCAGGCAGGGAAGGAAGCTGTGCCTTGCTCTAAGTGGTGGTAGCCCTTGGGCGAGTAGGCGCTCGTCCCACGGTTACAAATTGCATACTCTAAGAAGGAGTTCATCCTACTATTGTCCATCTGCCACTGATGGAGGAGGGTCAACCTGTTTTGGGGGGATCCCGCCTGCCCTACAACCTTTAGATAGTATGTCAAAAGCTGTAAAACTTCCAGCCATGCATCGCACGCCTCCGAACCCCCAGCGCCTCCAGAAAGGGTTGGGGGGGTGGGGAGTGGGTGGGGTGGGCTGGGGACCCGCGACCACGTGGTCCGCCTCGGGCCCAATGAGCTGGGACCTCCCGAAGTTTGTCAGATCTCTGTGCTCATCCATCACACGGCTGACATTTGCATGACAAAGGCACTTCAATCAAACCCGGCCCATCAATCTGATCACAACACGGATACGTCAAAATCTTTCCTCAAAGACTTTAAAAGAGAGAAGGGAGGTATGGGTGGGGGGAGCGAAGAGAGAATTAGAATTATTCAAGACTGTTTTAAGTGTTAAAAAGGCCCCGAGTTATAAGGTGTAGCCAATTTCATCAGAACTCCCCCCCCAAAAAAACTTTAAAGAATATTCCCCCCGCCCCCCATTCCAGCTTCATCTGAGAAAGAGGGACAGAGATAGGGAGAGAGGTAGGAAGATCTCACTACATTTTTTCGTCCAACTACCAAAAAAGGGTCTTTTCTTCATTTTAAAACTTTCTTTGCAACATGGCGTGGACGTGTTTGGAGTTTGCTGGGATGCAAAAGCGTTAAAAAAAATCCCCAGTGAGCATCTTGCCACCCTGGCTTTGTGTGTAGAACCAGTGCGGGTAAAAAGGAATGTAATTAAATCAATATTCTAATGAGCTGATGAAATAAAGTTAGAGGGGATGCCTTTTGTTGGAGAAATACCATACCCAGTAAAATCAAATGAGGAAAAGAATTGAAAATCTAGCTAGCTAGCTAGCTAGCCTATCTAGCTATGGAAACGAGAGTTTTCTTTTAAAATCGTTTAGTAAATACCAGGGAGATAGCTAGCTAGCTAGATAGATAGCTAGCAAGATAGTATATATGTATTAGTCACAAGCAGTTTGATCTATTTCTCAATCGATTATTGTACTGAAGTCTTCTACTGACATAATTCAACTTGTGCGTAGGCACAAAGAGAAGGCGTCTGAACCAGCCTTTTCCACTCCACTGTTAATAGAATGGAGACATAGGTAGGCAACATTTATTTACTTGTTAGCACATGGGAGACAAGAGCATCCAACAATATGACGCCCACAGTCATTTGTTACTTGTCAGGATATTTACTGGTTAGCCAGCCCTTAAGAAGAACCAGGAGTTTTTAGGCCAAAAGTTCACTGTAAGACATGATATAAACAAGCTCTTTAGTCCAGAGGTTTGGCTGACGCAACACTTTTAAGGGCAGCATTTGTTAAAAGAAGTTATCTGAGACCACAGCTCGAACCTGGCTCCTTTTAAAGCCTCCAAAGTAAAAACGGATGAGGTAACCTTAGATTTCTCACGCTTAGCTACGGGGCAAACGACACGACTTTGGTGGAAAAATGCTCTTGCTAATAGAACAGCAGCGGAGTCTCCTAATGCCTGAAGAAGGGCATTTGTGTCCGAAAGCTTGCAAAGAACTTTTTCCCAACTATTTAATTGGTCTAATAAAAGATATCACATTTCCCCAAAGACCCTTACCTGCCTCTTGCTAATATGTAATTATCCAAGCAGTGACGTTTGATCTGTTAGTTAAAAGTACCCTGGATTCGGCAGACCCCCGCTTTTGCCTACTTCGGAATAGCGCACCCACAAACTCATCCACAAAACCCAGCTTGGCTCTCCTGTTGTTTTCCTTGGACAGGGAAAGCGTTTTGACTTGACCCCGGGCGTGTGATGTTCTGCGTTATAGTGCAATTATTTTGAATGACGTTTATCATATTTAAATCGTGTTTAAACTAGATAATTTCTGTGTGTGTGGTGGTGGGGGGGGGAGTTAATCTGTGTATTTTCTGATTACATCCTGGAGTCGATTGCTTAGTGAGGCTCTGGCCATATCCTTCCGCTCTCTTGTTCCAAAGGTCTGGTGAGGGAGGCTTTGTGTCGTTGCAAGTGGGGATGGAGTTTCAGAGATTCCCTCCGCAAGGTCTCACTATTGCGGCCCCGAGGAGGGAGGCGGGGAGCATGCTCTGGGTGCGAGGTACCGCGAGCATCGGAGATGGGAGAGCTCTGGCTCACACCGCTAAGCGCTTGGCTGCGATACCTGGATAAACTCGGGCATTAAAACTGCCTCCTTAATGCGATCGAAATATGAATGGATAACAAGAAAACCACGTAACACTTCCGGCCCTGCTTGGGGATTTAATAGTCATCCATCTAAGCGCTTTGTGAAGGGGACTGGGATGAACCAGGAGACACACGTTTGATGCGATTGGAGAGGGGGACTTTTCCGCTGGGGGTTTTCTACTCGTCTGTCCTCCCATCAGAGGCGGGGGGGGGGCAGTTTCTTTCTGGGCGAGAAAGAACACACACACACACATACACCCATCCGTGGCCGCTGGCCATCTGCTGCTCTCTGTCACCCAGGGAAGGATGCATCGCTCGGGTTTCCTCTGATCAGCTCCTCGGAGGATCGCAGCCTCCTGTGCAGGCTGTGGGGCATTGGTTAGTCTTGTCCGGATAGCGGGAGCCCTCTCTTCTCCCTGGTCTGTCTTGGTCTTGTTACTCCGGTTTAGGGCAAACCCGAGCTAACTCCAGAGGTGGGGCGGTCCTGCGGGGAGTCCCACTCTGGGCTGATGGCAGAGGAGAGCGCAGGTGGCAGTGGAGACGTGGGTCTGGAAATCCCACCCTGAGGACCAGACTCAAAAGAGGTCTTAGCGGCCTTCAGGGCCAGCACCAGTGTTGAACTGAAGGCGGCTACATTTCTTTTTGGAAATGCGGGGCCGAGTGCCTTCGCTGGGTCGTGGAGAACAACCTACATTGTTCGTTCTTTGTCCCCCCACCCCACGTCCTCTCTCAGGACTTTCAGGGAAAGGGGGCATCAGATCATGGAGAACAACAGCCAAGCCTGCCACGTGTACTCGGGAGTCGATGTTGCAGAGGCTTCCCCGAGCAGACTTTCCCCGAGAGACTAGCATAGTTCCCTGCCCGGGCCGCCACGTCTGAAGAGCCCAGCAGACCTCGGTGTCCCCCGCACTATCATCTGCCCACTCAGATACTCAATGAGACACTGCTCTTTAATTCTATGGATTGCTTCATTTTCACTGGCGTGTTGAGGGAGGCAGTAATTATTCCGATCCCCTGAAGCACAGAGGACAAAATCTTCTACACTGCAGTCTTTCACTCGATTGGATTTTTTTTTTTTTAATATGGGGGATTGTGGAAGGCGGAGGTTAGACACCATTCACCCTCGGGTATCTGGGGAAAGAATCGAAACCGACCAAGGGGCGAGTACATGGACTTGGGCAGAGATGGGGAACAGAGACAAAAACTGGCGTGTTTGTGGGGGTCTAGAGTTCAGCTCTGTGTCCGCTCAGATTCTTAGAGATAGATAGACAGATACATAGAGAGATAGATTTGTAAAGAGAGAGAGAGATTTGTATAGGGGTATATATATCCGCGTGTGTGTGTATACGCACTTACATATTTACTCAGATATTCTCTCTCTCTCTATATATATATAATTAAACCTTTTATATTAAATTAAATTATGAATCTGAGTATGTATGTATGCATATATATATATATATATATATAGGATACATATACACCTGTACCATCTATCTATCTATCTATCTAAGGATCTGAGTTGACACAGAGCTGAACCCTAGACTCTAGAGGCAAGAGCATTAGAGCCTTGTCCAGAGTTCAGCTTTGTTCTAACTCAGATACTTCTATATAAACAAGGTCATGTAGCTGGTCAGTGGCGGAGTAAGGAATGGTGTCCTGAGTCTTAGCAGCATTTTGTATTTGCTGATGAGACTCTGAGACAGACAGGGCTGAACTCTGGACTAGCCTATAATTCTCTCGCTTCTAATCCTCCCCTGAAGGGACCTGTTTCCCTGAGGTGGGGTATGAATCCCTAACGTCTTCATCCGGCGCTGCAGGCCTGTTCCAGGTCAGAAACTGCCACTGGTTGTGCTGGAGCAGACGGGAGTTGTGAATTGGACCCGGGACACACCAGCAGCCCACATGCAGTTCTCCCTTGCTTCTGATCTCTGGGTCTCAGATTTCCTTGAGGCAAAATGGACTGGGCCTGGGATTCTCCAGGGTAGCATTGTAGCAGGGGAAATGTGCAAGGGTCTCATCTGCCCGCATTGAACCGCAGCTCTTGGGGGCTGTGACATTCGGGTCCAAACACGCCCGGAAGGGGAAGACGTGGGAATGAAAGCTCATTGGAGAGACTGAGGTTCATAAAGTTATGTTGAAGGAGTTATTCGAGGGCAAACCGTTTTGGTTTTTTGTTTTTTTTGGGGGGGTGGGGCGGGGAGGAGCTATCCCGGAGTGGAAAAATACAGAGGACAATTGAGATCAGCAATCCTACACCATCAAGGCAATGGTGGGAGCTGCCGGCAGACGGGGGAGGGGGTGGGGTTCATAGAAGCCATGTTTGGGATGCTGAAGGTCGAAATCAACGATTGTGCCACTGTTGTATTAGCTGGCAGGTCCCCCCAGCTCATATGCTGATGTAGCTGGACCCAGCCCTATTGACTATAGGGAGCTTCACACCCTGAAGGCAGCAGGGAAGTCTCCTTACACCACCAATACATACACCTGCTGTAAAACTACCTTCCTAGAAATGGCCTGATTCTGCCAGGTGCTGACCATGTCAATGGGAGCTAGTGGGAGCCACACGTCCTTGGCACCTCCGGAGTGAGGAGATCGCAGCTTCTTCTATCCGGGCTCCCCACGGGGGATCCAGCTGCCTAGGGTCAGTTTCTAATTCAGGCCCTAGCAGCCCTGGTTGATGCTGTGGTCAACCACCGACCACTGGCGGAGAGCTGAGGGCGCAGTGCAAGCCCCTGCACTGCGAAACGTGGTCACGTCTTGCTGTGGAAAACCTCTCCCCACCCTTTAGGCCACGCTGCTCTCTC